TCCTTTGTTTCCGAAACCCATTCTGCAGTTCCCCCAGCACCCCCTCATCCTCTATCCACGCCTGCAGTCTTTCCTTTATAATCTGCATCGCCAGCCTGTAGACCACTGATGTCACTGTTATAGGACGGTAGTTGTTTATGTCAGCTTTGTCCCCCTTTCCTTTATAGATCATGCTCATCCTGCTAAGTTTCCATCCATCGGGAACTTCACCATCGATTATTATTGTGCTCACTGCCTCTCTCAAAGCCTGCTTAGACTTCGGACCTAATGTCTTTATCAGCCTAATTGGAATGCCATCTGGGCCTGTTGATGTACTACTAAAAACCCTTTTCTCAGCCCTTTCCCACTCTTGTTATGAAAATGGAGCCATTGCACCACTTGATTCGTCCTTGTCTATTGTGGTGCATAAAGTACTTCTTTGTTGAGATTTTTCTGTCGCCCTTGTTCTTATATATTCAATAGCTTCGTCCCCTTCTAGCCTAGCACCTTGGGCTGTAGTTATAAAACTCGGCTCTAGGCTCGTCTCATTTCTTAGGGAGTTTAGATGGTTCCAAAATTTCGCAGCTGCCTTTCCATCTTTTTTATGTAAGATGGCAGGGTTGCAGCGCCCCCCCTCAAAGGAGTGGCGAAAGGCATGTACTACACCCGCTGCGAAGGCCGTAAGAAGGGACTGCGCAAGTGAAGTTTAGCCAGGCCGTGGTGTGGATTGCTTCGTGCATCGTCTGCTAGCCACATCGTCTTTCTATGTGCGCGTACGTCATGCACGTTCTCAAAGTGTGGTTTGACCGGTCATGTAAGCACGAGGGTAACTGTTTCTACGTTTGCCTGAAACGGCATACGAAACCATTTATTTGGTCTTGCTCGGCTGCTGATGCATTGTAATAAAATCGGCGAGTGCAAGTTTCCAGAGTGCTGTTTGTTGTTGTCGTACCCTCTATTCTCCAGAATAATTTCAGAGATGGTGCCTCTTTCTGTTTCAAGCACATCGCAAAATGCTCTTGGCATTCTCCCAAACATGACTACCATGAAATAGTGAAGGCGACGTTGTACAGCGACTCGGTTGTAAAAAAAAGAAAAAAAAACATGCTCTAGGCCATGCACTTGCGCGCTGTGGGAAGGTGTACAACTACGGCACTGTAGTTTTATCGATCATGCGAGGACCCTTGGTTGTGTTTATCTGCCCGTGTAGCCACTACTTAGTAACTGGCCGTGGTACCACTACATAGAAATATTACTATCGCATAAGCTGTGACACATAGGTACTTAAACTGTACTTAAAAGAGAAGTACCGTGCGCAACCGTGTGCTTAGATTTAAGAACGCTTTAAAAAGTCCAGACGTTGATAATTAATTCAGATGACATGCCTTATATATATTGTCGTATAATTTCACAGAAAAATTCGTCTTTCTTACGTTGTCTGCAGCGTTTGTGTAGCACCGACTGAAGGCAGTGGTAATTTTTTTGTCTGAAAAAAGAAACATGCTTGTCCCATCAACCAGGCCTTTGTTGTTGCACTCTCATGCACGTAATCGATCGATAAAAGCTTTCTGCTAAACTCTTATATAAAATTTATATATTTTCGCTGGTGCAAAAACATGTGCGCACACGTGGTAAACGCAGTGTAGCGCAAAGCACCGTCAGCCACTAAGTTTTCCTGACTAGACTTATCTCCTGTACGACATTTCATGGTGAACTGAATGAGAGAAAAAAAGTCATATGCGTAAAGTGCGAACGGCGGTGCCGAGCTAATCGCACAGATATGCCGGCTTTCTACGATCTTTCTTTCTCTCTTTTTTATAGTATGCAGACGAAAAAGATGTAAATAAGTAGTTCAGTCACGCTACAACGATGCGGAGCAGGTAGAACACAAGCTGATCACGTACAAACAACATAGCAGAGGCGTGATTTAGTGCGAAAGCGTGAGAAGAGTCACCCAGGGCGAGCGTCCCTGTGAAAGGCAGAATGCGCTTTACTCGTGGGCAATGTTAACATTGCATAGGCGTCGTGGAACGATCCAGTAGAGAAGAGCGTAGTTATTAACAGTAAACTGTAGTCAATGCATTTTATCCGCGGACAATCGGCTCAGACCACACGCAACAAAGCGCCGCTGCATGCGCCGACCGCCTATCCACACTTTCGCGGAACGCTGCTGCCACCTATAGCCCGATATCGCCGCCAATAGCGGGGGAGGATAAGCTCTTCTGCGTGCCGCCATCATGTTTCGGACAGCCCAATGGTCGCTTCCCCAAGTCATTTGGTCATTCTCAATGGCACGCGAGTATACTAACAATGACTTACCAGACGGCGGCATTTGGCCTGCTTCATGCAAGACGCTCTTCCGAGTAAGCTTTCCCTTTTTAGGCCCAGACAGGGGCGACCTTGACGGCTCCGCTCGTGAACCGTGTGAACGAAGGAGTCTCCTTTATTTCCCGTGCGCAGGTCTTCCGCGTTCGCCTTCGCGGAACCGATCAGCTTCGTTTGTTGACGGGTCGGGAACTGGCTCCACGCTCTGCATCAGCCGCATTAAGTGCGCTACACACAACACGCCACGAATGGTTGCCTCGTACTAACGGAGGGGGGAGGGGGCCAAGGGCGGTCGTTCCTCTAAAGCTTGTGTCACCCCCCCCCCCCCGCCTCTCTTCTGTGCTTCCTATCCACCACTAATTAAGACAAATGAGTGAGACCACGGTGAGCGCAAACTAGGATGTATTTATGCTGTGAAGTTGTTGTGCTACTAAAAGAAAAAAAAAGTCGGCACCCCTTCTCTCTTTTCCGCCTCCAGAAAATGAGTAGTGGCACCTGCCTCTGTCGACAGCTCTGAAGAAACAAAATGAACTCGGCAGGCTGATCTCAATGACAGGAAGAACAATGGTGTTTTATTTCAAGTTACGTTCCTGAACAACGTTAGGCCCCAGAATCTGTGCAGTGGTGACGGATGTCCGTAAATATACGCGTTTCAATCACACACACATGGACACACGAAAATTCTAGCAATTGGACGCTGCGAGGTTTTCTCTGAAACAATAGCTCAATTTGCACCAAACTAGCGACCAGGACTCAAAGAATAAAAACACGTATATAGACAAAGATAAGCAGCCGGCCCTGTCTATGTGTTCGTTCTTTAGATGTGGTTAATTTTGGTGCGAAATTGACTATTAACTCTTAGAAATCCACCAACTAGCCGATCAGCGAGTACTGCTACGTTTCTCTAAAGTATCTCACGTAAAACGGATACCAAAAAGGTAATTCGTTCACTGAACAATTTCCGCACACATGCTGACATCGCTTTGTAGTTTTTTTTTCTATCATTCTAACCATCTTATCACATGTACACTCCTAATCATATTACGTACCACTTGAGATGCTCGAAGTAGCCAGGAAACCATACATTTTTCGTCTGGTTTCTTGGATATAACCAGCATTTATTCAGGCGAGATCTGTTTAAAAGTGAAGAGCGTAATTTCGTTTATTTCATAAACAAAAGCGTGGGGTTCAAACCAGAGGCCTCAAACTCACCTGAGCTAGTGGGCCTAGTTCACGAAAGTTGAACCCACAAGGGCTGGGACAGTGAAGATGCGTCGAGCGAGACCGCCGTTTCCCACATCTCTTATAAGGTTCATATCTGATGGACATCTGACATCAGGCTCCAAAACACAAAAACAATACTGATCTCCTCAATCACTAAAATCTGGACGCCAATTGTGAATACAGCCTTTTCGCTTAACGATGGAAAAAGAAAAAAAAGGTTAAAGATTAGTTTACCGGAGCAAGGGATTATTTATTTCAATAGGAAATAATGAATCTATTATTTAGCGAAGCCACGAACATATATTCCGAGTGAAAAAGCAACGGGCGGCTACAAAAAGCTCCGTAGGCAGTGTGTTTGAGACCCCTGGTTCAACCTATTTTACACAGTGAGCCATCTCACCGAGAAAGCCCTTCAGCATGGTTTCTCCACAAACATATATCTGTCACGCCACAAAGTAATCGCTGTTCGGAAATGATGCAACGACTGACTCGAGCAGTTTTCTGCACCTTGATGAAATGCACAATGTAATGCAAAGTTCGTGAGTGCGATGTGCTCCTATAAAAAACAAAAAACAATTATTGATGCACCTTAAAACGAACAATATAACTCTGTAAATCTATAAAGCGCGCTTCGTATATGTTCTTACGAGTTTGGTTTTTCGATGAGAACGCCAACTGTATACACTGCACAAGCGGTGGCCCTACATACATTCTGTGCTATTAGGCTCTATAGCATAAATATAGCGTTTATATTTGCTTATTGGCTAAAATCTTGCTACAATACCATATCAGGGCTACAGTTTGCAGCACAGCTTCTCTGCACCTTGTTTTGTGTCACAGCGTAACCTTCGTAAATTGCATAATCTACATATATGTTTGAATTGAATTAATCCTAAGTACCGTCAAATGGGTCGCTTTTTTGCTCCTTTCATTCGAGGGAAACTACTTCCACCCAACAATGAATTTACGTTATTTGTCTACAAAGCAACTCCTTATACCTATATAGATTTTCAATTTATGCTTTTGGAAACATGACGCTCACGAATTGAGAATTTCAGGTTATGTCAACTTTGTTTTCCTTTGCATCAAGGTGCTATGAACAGGTCATGCTACTTATTGGACAAAATATACCATGGAACAACTTCTAATTAAGATATACCTAATAGTTTTAACATGGCCCGAGCATTAAAGACAGCCCGAATGATTTAAAAATATAGAATGATCCAACCATTGTCGAACTTAATTTAACCAAAATGATGAAGATCCTGGTGCGTTTTTATCGTTTGCACCATTTCTATGCACTGTCTGTTAGCACCTCTGAACAGAGAATTCCTCGTCAACGAGAATACATGTTATGTATATCTCTGATATATATATTTGTGAGTTTGTACAGACCGCGAAGGACGCACGCACGATCGTTTGACCTACACATGATGCAATCACCCACTCCCGCATTATGCGGTCATCACGGAGCCTTGGATAACATTCTAATACATATTCCCGTAATTACATCATATTGCACAGACACACAAAACTTCAGGGCGGCACATCTGCACAGAACACACGTGACACTACTAAATACATAACACGTCGGTAAAGCATTTCCATAATTTTTTTTGAGTTTCGCTCGCAAGTCTATTGGCGATAAGTGTCAAACACAAACAATTTGCGCTTTGTGGAATTCATGAGTATTCACGATAATCCGTTCGGAAAGAACGTTTCCTCTCATTAATACGGGAAGAACTTTCCGAAAAGCATAAATGGCAGCACTAATTTGTTTAAAAAAAGAGAGAGATATAGAGACGCAAAGACGGAGACTGTAGTAGTAGCAACCACTGTGACAACATCATCACCAATATCAGCCGCGGGCTCTTTAGCGAGTTCACGTGTGCGGGTGATGCTTTGGCAAAGGCGCGCCCGCCACGCCAAGCTCGCGCGACTAGACCCTAGATTAGAGCGCCGCAGCCTAACAACAAAAGGTTACACACACTACACACTACCCACCATGTCCAATCGGCTGCTTTTCAATTGCTTAGCACACATATTCTTACGCAAGATGCGCCTGTAGTATACGTAGGCACAGAAAAGCGCAGCCGAAATTAACGCATTTACTTTTCCACGTTATGTAGGTCAATCTGCGCCCCTCGTCCCAGAGTTTTCTGAACAAGCTCAGAAAGTACGCGTAGCGAATCCGGCTCCGCGTCAACGCTAGAGCCCCGACATGTCAAAGAAAGCTGTTTTTCGCGAAACATTTAAATCTAATTATTACGAAAAGGGCACGAGCCGTTTGCTATTAAACACGGTTACGTAGTTGTATACTCTCTCCTAGGAAAGCTTATAAGAACTTTGGCCAGCATTTTAAGGATATTATCAGTCATCACCACCAGTTCAATCACCCGGCGAGTCGGCGGCTCCTAAACGCACATTCTCACGCTCAACAGCAACGCCATCAGCAGCGTCAAAGCACCGCTCCGCGACATCCGGTTCCAGGAGACGGCCGCACTGCCGGTGACTATCTCGTCCTGCACGACGATCTTCCAGCCCACGTTGGGCGTCGTGTAACTCTGGTAGTAGACGACGTCCGGCGTGCTGTCGTTGGGCATCCACGAGAGCACTGCGGGCTGGCCGTCGTCGCACTGAAGGCGCAGCGTGTTGCGAAACTTGGGAAAGCTCGCGAACTCGTCCGCTTGCCGGGGCTCCGAGGTGTTGTAGACCCAGGCACACAGCCGGCCCGCCGCGCTGGGTTGGGGACGTCCCCGGCGGTCGAACTGGATGCCGGCGTATATCTTGACGCCCTGCCTTTCCGCCTCCGTAAGCCTGGCGTAACCACCAGATGAGCTGTCGGTGATGTAGAGCGGGTGGTAATAGCGCGCATTGTGAGGGTTGTTGCCCCCTTCGACGCGGAACGTGTACGAGCGGCCCCTCTGCACGTGAATTTCGGGAACGAGCACGCCGTTCATGTACCAGCTCTCGCCGGGACTGCTACGGCCAGTGATGCCCACGTAGCCCTTCCAAAGGCCGGCGGGACCGATCCTGGCGACGAATGTGTCCACCGCTTTGTCCCGGATGCGGAACAGGGGCCAGGGATCCGGCTTCTTGCGGTTCAAACCAGTGGTGAACTCGAAGCAGTTGTCGGCGGCGTCCTTGCGACCAAAATTTATCTTCAGATTGCCTCTGGGGAAGGTGTGATGGAACGAAGGTTCCTTCTGCTCGTTGTACTTGCCGATGGCCCAGACAAGGTAAGTGTCACCGTCAGGGTTGAAGATCTGGTCCCCATCGTCGTCCGGGTTGAGAAGCGTACGGCGGAAGACGAAGCTGGTGAGCCCGTCCTTGCGCGTGAAAGTCAGTATCTGGTAGCTCTCTTGCCTTCCACTTTCAGGTCCGGACAGACGCCCCTGTACCGGCCGAGCACGTTGGAACACGGGAAGCGGTCCGATATGTTGTAGTCGACGGCATTGGCGTAGTGGCCGTCGATGTAGCACACCGCCACGTCGGCGCCCACCATCTTGGAAGAGTTGGTAGCGCCGCTGATGCCGAACGCTATGTACTCGTCCTCCTCAATCTGTCCGGTGAGTTGGAGCGTTATGCTGCGACCCTGTATCTCCCAGCGTAATTGCAAAGTCGCGTGCAGCTGCTCGCAATTGGGCAGGCGCGATTCGTGCTTCGTGGATCCCAGCTTCGAAGGCGGGATGTCTTGACCGTGTGGCACGATCACCGAACCGTAGTTCTCGTTCGACTCCGCGTTCCACACGCTCAGCCAGTCGATGTCGAAGACGCTCATCTTTCCGGGCAACGTCAGCTGGATGGTCTTCTCCTCGTAACGACCGAGTGGTTCGAGGTAACCTTTCTCGTCGGGAATCTTCTGACCGGCGCTGTTCGGTTGCGGTCCGAGGCCGACCCAGAAGTAGGTGTCCGAGACGTTCCCGTTAAAGTAGAAGTCCGGGATTTCAATCGTCTTGGAATCCACGATCACGACCGTTCCCGAACGAACACCGGCGCCAGCGCCTGGAGAACTCCGATATCCGCCTGGGTGACGGCGGTTCGAATCCTTCGGGAAAGAAGATATCACCGTAGTTGGCATGCTCTCTCAAGTTCCACACCGCAAACCAGCGGATGCTGGTGATTTTGCGCTTGTTCGGTAGCTGCAGGTATATGTCCTTATCCGTGTACGGCTGCAGCTTGTTGGTCTTGCCTTCTTCGTCGGGAACGATGAAACCGACGTTGCTTGGTCGCACGCTGGATCCGGCCCAAAAGAAGGCGTCCTGACCCAAGCCGTCGTAGAAGAAGTTCTTGATGAGTATCGTGTACTCGTCGATGGCGTACACATGACCGGACACCTGATGCGCGTACGTGTTGATTTTACCGATGTAGAGGCCCTCGTGAGGGTCCTCGCACGTCACACCGCGGAGCAGTAGAACCGCCGCGACCGTCGCTAGGACGGCCGTAACGGTAAATCCGCCGCGAACCGCCCTCATCGTTGGCACTGGCGCGCGCGCTGCACAAGCGGAGACCTCGAAGAAAGTATGGCGTCTTCGTTGCTGGCTTGGAAACTTCCCGCACTGAAACACTCACACACCATCTCTTAGCGCGATTTCTACGGCCGCGCACTCGTCTTTTGGTCGCATCACTACTCACAGCAACACACAAAACCCGCTGCTGCCGTCTTCACGCACACGTGCAAAAGGGACGACGATTCGGCGAACTGTAAAAGCCTCACTTCGGGGACACGGACAGGTCGACCTCGCTGCGGCTTTCACTGCTTGCTGTACGAGCAAGCAAAAACCCCCGCTGGACGGGCAGGGCTGGGGCGGGTGCACAGTCTCGCAGGCGCGTCGCTGGCCTACATTCCACCCGGTTTGTTCCACTGCTCTCTGGCGAGCCTTCACGACGAGCGAGAGAAATTACAAGAAAGAAGTGGGAGAGAGAAAGCGGCCGGCGACGTTTCGGCTCGCTCAGAACCGGTATACCCACGACCTCCTTTCCGAGCCGATTTTCTCTCTGCTGCCTTCGCGACGCGCCGTGAAACGGGCTTCGCCGGACTTGATGCGGTTCGTTTACCGCAGTGGCTCGGCATTAATAAGCAATCGAGGATTAAAAGGCGCGGAATCGAACGGTTTGTCTCTGTCGGGTGATACTGCGTGCCGTGATGAGGATGAGAAATTGCGGGCGCAATGCTTTCAGCACCTTGTTAATAACGAAAAACATATGACTTTCAGCTCTACTTCATAATTAGTGATCTTGATTTGCATTCTCTAGTTGCAATTTTGCAATTTCTAGCAGCCGTTTTACTTTGTTCAAATGTTATCCTGTGTTCGATTGCCTTAACATGTTTTGATTGCTTGAACTTTCTTTTTATTGAAGTTACATTGTGAATCACTCTTTATTATGCCCCCCTGTTTGGTCTTTGAATGCAGTATACTGTAAATAAAATAAAATTAATAAAATATATGTGTGAGTTTAACGTCCCAGAACCACAATATGATTACGAGACACACCGTAGTGGAGGACTCCGGAAATTTCGACCACCTGGGGTTCTTTAACGTACACCCAAATCTGAGCACAAGTGCCTACAGCATTTTCGCCTTCATCGAAAATGCAGTCACAGTAGCCCCGAGAATCGATCCCACGACCTGCGGGCCAGCAGCCGAGTACCTTAGCTACTAGACCACCGTGGCGGGGCAATTAAAGTGATCTAGTCTGAACTAGTTGGCCGAGAGTATGCTTAGCAATTTGCGCTCGAGGCAGTCCTCGTCAAGCCTTTAAGTTTTTACTCCTTGCGTCCTGCACGGGTATATTGTAATTTTCCTGCAAAAAAAAAAATGTTCAACGTACGAACACGATGAGCTGCACTCTCTTTCTTGCGTAAATTATGCCGTCATTTTAAAGGCATACAAGGGTTGTTACGTTGCTGTTACTTGACACTCAGCGAAATTGCTTTTAAAGTCCCTGCTTAGTACACTGTTAAATAGGTGTGTGCCTAATATTTTTTTTTCTCTACAAGCGTTTTCTGTATATTTCTCACGCTTGCACAACTGTTGAAAACTTAATATTTTATTGAAGAAGGCATACTCTTAGTATACTCCGAAAGCATCATCTTTGTTCTTTTTTTTTTAGTGTTCATCAATAGTGTTCAAGTTGCAGCGAATTAGACATTTTGTTACCATATGGGTGTTTCTTAGCCGATTTTCCGTCCTTAGGTACGAGCCAAACAGAACACAAACCACATAATGCGTATAGTATAGATAACGTTTGGTTGATCAGACTGCAGTATACGTGGGCGCCAAGTGAAGAAAACCCAAGGCTAAGTTGGCAGCGGCTGCGCAGAACTGTGCGACGTATCCGAACAGCAAGAGTCTTGACTGTTGTCTTTTTTTTTTTTTAGACGAAAAGCTCCTCATGGTCCAGGGCAGTCCATACCTCCGGCGTAGCCCGCACAGCATATCCACAGACAGACAGACAGACAGACAGACAGACAGACAGACAGACAGACAGACAGATGGACGGACGGACGGACGGACGGACAAACAGACGGACGGACGGACAAACAGACGGACGGACGGACGGACAGACAGACAGACAGACAGACAGACAGACAGACAGACAGATGGACGGACGGACGGACGGACGCTTCGCCCTAGTCATTATCATTCACTCCGTGAATATAATGCGATTTTTTTTCCCTTGGCGAGTTCTAACATAAGCGCTCACAATGGCACCAGCAAGCTCATTGTTCAGATGTTCTGCAATTAATCTCAGTGAGTAGTCACGTTGTGGAATTAGCAGATACATAGTCGGGGTTTGTTTATACACAGAAGATGTGAGAGTAAATGTCGCGAAGATTGCCTAGTCTTAAAGTAGAGCTTGACGCGCTGTGTTCATTATTATTATTATTGTAGTAGTAGTAGTAGTAGTAGTAGTAGTAGTAGTTGTTGTTGTTGTTGTTGTAGTATTTATTAGTCTTTTATTGTTAACTTTCATGATCTTGATGTTTTTCACAGTCCACTGTCATTGTTTTTATCTCAGCTCTGGAACGTCCTTCCATAGTTTCTCACAATTTACAGCTTCTTTTTTTTCCGTCTTTCAAGAAGGCTTCCACGTAGTTGTGTATATTTCCCATTATTTTTCACTTCCTTTCAATGATTATCGTCTTGTATTTTCATTCTTCCCATTTTGCACTGATCTCTTTTTCTGTGTGTTCTAGCTCTCTTTATTTTATTTCCTGAAGCGTGTCTGTATTATATTGATTGTTTGTATTGTTTTATTTTTGCGTGCCCCTGCACTAGGATCTCATAGCTAGTGCAGGACACGTTAAACAAAATTTATTATTACATTATTATTATTATTATTATTATTATTATTATTATTATTATTATTATTATTATTATTATTATTATTATTATTATTATTATTCGATATAACAGGTTATCATTTTTCTTTTTTGTCTTTCGCAATGACACAATTTCGCATGCTCAGACACCTCTGGTGATACTTGTGCCACGCTCTAGTGACAAACAACCTTAGAAACTTACAGACTTGCCTGTTAGTTTACTATATTTATTTAGCGTGGACAGTCCTTTTTTTTTTTGTAAACAAACAAGCAAGCAGGCTTGTGTGACCCCTATAAAATGCGTACTGTATGCACACGATGTTTCAGTGCACGAGACTATCTATAAAACATCGGCTTTACTGAATATATATATTGCAGCAATATCAAACACGCAGGGCACAATCCGCACATGGCGCACGGCTTCACAAGGAATAAAATGTTTGCCAGATTGCCAATCGGTGCTTGCTGTGTTTGCTTGCCCCTTGCAATTAATAACGATTTGTTCGGGTATATGATACAGGGACGGGACTGTTCTGAAGCATTTGTTTATTTTGTATCATGTAGATGGTTTCTCTTGAAAAATTCACGAAATATGTGATGACAATGTTAAGCTTACCACGTGGTCATTTTAATGTCAGTGAACAAAATATTGTGTATTGTAATGAATATTTTTCTGATGGGGGCTTCGAAAGTTTGATGCCCCATTACACTTTCCGTGAGCTGAATTTAGATCACGCAGGAGCGTTGCGTCTTCGAAACGTAATGAATTATACTCGTTGTTCGTATCTTCCATTCGCGATGCCACAGCGGCTGGGCAAGCTGTGGTGAATAATAGAAGCTGTTGCGGCAATTTACCCACAGTAGACGTATGCCTTAAGATTTGTGTTTGCAAGCGGTAGTTGGGGAAAATTCGTTGGTTATTTCAATTGATTATGGATTTGCACACTATAGTTTGCCGTCATATACCTAGACAATCCAACTTCTAGCCACCATTGATGCTTTGATTCGACAAGGTCTAAAATCGACGACTTAACTTTAAGATTTGGGCTTATTTTTCGGCCTATTTTTGTTGTATGCGTCAGATGGAAGAGAGCGGTGCCGTATAGTTGTACTGAACAAAAGCTCTCAGGAACCAAATTCTCGTTGCAATGAGGAAATTTAGCGTCCCCGGCGAACGTCCGAGAGTTCAATGCATTGGACGCCTCTCGACAGCGAAAAGGTTTTATACCCATGTCACACGGCCATGACAAAATTCTCTTAACTTTGAACTCCGTCAACGTGAATCTCCCCTACGCAGTTCGACAGAGATGGAGTTGTAGAAATGTCACACGGCAATCACAAGGTTGCAACAGTTGCCGCGAGGGGGCTAAGCCGGCACTGTTTGGTTTTGGTGGAAGTATCCCAGTTTCATACGTATAGAGATTCACAATAAAAAAGCAACTATAGTTGCTTTTTTTGTGAATCTTCGTTATGCGGTTTTGACAAAAACACAATATTGAGTAGGTCTGAAGCAAACAAAGCATTAAACATTGTTTCAAATGAAAACGCATTCGCTTAATGTAGCGATGGTGGCAGCGACGCTGTCCGCTTTGTGCTTAACTCTATGTTTGTTTACAATTGCGCCGTGCTGGACGACTATAGTTGTTTCTGTAGCGCGTGTACAAAGGTTCTTGTGTTTCCTTCCCTCGTGGGTGCACTCCAAGTTAACATTGAATTAGCTCGGGTCCCATTACCCATTCCTGCAGCCGTCGAAGCAGATGACGATGACGTAGCGCTGTCAGTCATTCCTCTCACGGGCAAATGCAGACATGGCGAGAATAACAACCGCTCGCATGGACGATATATTTTTAAATCGCGGCCCCCGGCCCGCCTCGCGAGGCACGGTGTGGAGGGCCAAAAAAAAAAAGAAAAAAAGTGTACCAAAAAAGAAAAAAAGTATTAGTTAAAATTGAAAGAAAGTGTGAGGACATGAAGTTTCCTCTTGTGCTCAGCACATAACTCAGTGAGCGACTGCTACCGAAAGATAGAAGCTCAGTTATGCAGAAACACACTCTGTTTCACATCACCTACTTCAGGCTCTCTCGCTGTGTTGTAGCATATGTTACCGACAGTTGAAAACACGCGGACACTGGCCGTCCCCGCTGGGGTGGGAAGGTTTCGCAAAAAAAAAAAAAAAAAGTTTGGCGATACCTGTGTAAGATAGAGTCAGTGTTTCAAAAAATAACTAATCTTTTTTTTTTTAGAATCAGAGGCTCATCGAAGCTTTTCTTTAGCCTCCTAACTGTAAGGCCTTTATGAGCGGAAGCGGCACAATCTCCTTTGAAATAAGCCAGAGCTCGCTTTTCAGCTAGGATATCGGTGCAATTTTTAACGGAAGGCCTACCATAACGGCTTCAGCATTACCTTCAGCTGCACGGACCCTGACCAAGTTGCAGCATTAGCCGTGGTCATGTTTTAGATATTCGTCCAGTCAAATTATTGAAAATTTCAAATACTAGAATTACTCGTTTAGGCGTTTTTCTATTT